ACGAATAGATGAGCAATGTATGTACAATGCTGCCGAGGGTGGCTCAGACAACCGAAAGCATATGGAATTATGAGTGAGAGACGAAAGAAAGAGTACGAGCGACCTGTCTTGACCTTAGCCGGGAAGGTAGTGAAATGGGCCTAAGCGTCCGCTTTTATAGTGGAACGTTTCGCTGACGTCATCACATGCGCAAGATTTTACCCCCCCCCCCCCTCTCCGACTCCCTTTGGAGATATCACTCTCTGCAGTCCATTTTCTTCTCTCGAAAGGAAAAAAATATATATTGACATTAGTATGCGGGGCGAAATCTGGGTGGAAGATCAGCAGCACAGAAGCATGCCACCTTGGGAAAGTCTAGCGAAGCTGCACATCGTGTAGAAGTTTTCCTCCATAAATCCCAGGTGCCGATCGGTAGCAAGAGGGGGTTGCGGGAGTTCCGCGTTCCATTTCGTCATTTTCGTGCGGAGGGAAACCGAGCCTCGGAGCTCCAGTTCTTTCACCATAAATTCTTCTTTTCACCGTATACGTAGCGAGATGGGTTCTTTTCTTTCCCTCCATTCGGTGTCTTTTCCGAGCGTTTTGCTCGGCTTCTCCCGCATAAAAGAAAAAGCTTCTCTGAGAAACTCACTCTTCCAACGTCTTTCCCCTCTTCCTTTATTCATTCGTCGGCCCGTCTCCATCCTCTCCATTGACCCAGTTCCGTCGCGTCGCATCGGAAGCAGCGAGATGACGCGGGGGGAAGTATCGATGCGATGTGGAAGATCCTCTCTCAAAACGAGGAAGCGAATTCCATGGAAAGACGAGGGAACGTCGGGCCGTGTCGAGGCCGCATTTGTGGTATTCGTGCAGGCGTAAAGCTTCATCTGGAACCTTGTCGTTTCCTTTCACTTTTCAATATCGTACCGAAGGAATATGAACGTAATATTAACTTCTTTTCACGAAGAGGGTAACGGGAGGCCCAGAATTCCAGGGGGGCGAGAGGGAACAATTTATGGAGAGGAAATGAAAATTCTGTAAGAGGAGGGAGTGGCAATGAGTTTCTCCATTCTTTCCTTCTATAATCTTGCTTGCCCCGTGCACTAGAATACTCTGGAATGTGGAGATCGAATGGTGAAAGAAGCCTCCTGTCTCTATCATTTTCACCATTTCTGTTAATGGGATGCTAGGCGGAGTCGTACTTCATCTCCTATCGCATTTAATGGCCTGGTGCCTGGCTAATTTATTCCTTTTCCCCTGTCAGCGTTTCCCTAGGGGAGTTTTAATGGCTGTTCCATGTAGGGGATGAAATTCGCCCCAAGTAAGAGTCTGCTGTGTTCTTTTCCGATTGACATGCGAGACATGATTCAAATCTGTCACACACGGCAGGCGAAGGAAAAAAACGCTTTAGGCCTTCTATTTTCTGCCTTGAGACGATGATAACCATAAAATGGGCTCCCTTTTGGAGATGGTCATAGGTTGGATCGTTGAGTCCACCACGAAGGATGTAGTTTACCACAAGCGAAAAACTTGCTCGTGCTCTGCTGTACATCCAAGTTCGAAGCCTTTTTTGCCTTCTGCTTGAGTTTATGGTAGTTAAGTCGTGAGCAACGCTTTGTGCACCAATCGTAAGAGCACGGATTAGGTTCTTCGAACCCTGAAGCCGATTTAAGTGCCGATAGAGCACAGTGTAGCCTTAGGCACGTGCTGCACGGACCATTTGCAGACACATGCACCTCGATATCATGTTGCTATTTGTTGCTGATCATACGGGGTCTTTAATTTCGTTTTCGCAAACTGCCTTTCTGGAGTACATTTCCCAGGCAGGAATAGATAACAAAAGGTCGAATTTGGTATTAAATGGAAACTTGGGGGCCGACAGCGATTCTCCTCTCATTGCTTATCATTCAATTATAGCCGACGAGATTAAACCATGTTGAGGTAAGTTCCGTGGAAGGTCCCCCCCGAAAGGGTAAAAGGCTATTTTCATTCATTTTAACGAGAATTTCGACTGCAGGAAGAAACCTAGAAATTGTAGTTATGCATGGCTATCGAAGCAGACAACAATATTGCTAACAAAAATTCGAAACATTTCCGGGAAAGCTTCATTTTATCTAATTGAAAGGCAAACTAAGACGTTAAGGCTCGATTGATGAACGAAGAGATAAATTGACCTCGTTTCAACTACCGTCGATCAATGGGCGTTCTTGGAATGGATGCTTCCGGCTTTTCTCGCCGCGGAGGTTTCTCACGTTGTAACGATCGAATTAGCACCCCCTCCCCCCGATAGGGGTATGGTGAATGGACTAGCAAGGTTAATGTTATCACCAAGTCCATCCAAAGTCCGTAAGTGGTCTAAAGGAGTACGCAGAGAAAAATTAGCGTATAAATGCTGCTTTTGCGTTGATTTTTGCGTTTTGATACATTATTTTCAAGGCTAAAACGCATCAAAAAGGAATTTCAATGAATATCCGTCACTTTCAAACCGTCAGATCGCAATAGCTGCGTCCGACAGACGAAGATACGTCGAAAGCAATTTGGGAATGGGCCGTTTTCATGCATTTCGATTTCCCTCTGAGTTTCTCATGTCACCGCGCGTATCTCCATTTTCCGGGCCATCTTTCATATCATGTTCTGCAGACGATACATCTTCTTGCCTCTCAAGACAATATTTATTCGTGTTGAAAGCTCGTGTGCACTAAGTTCAATGCAACAGAAGTGAGTTCTTTTTCGGTTCCTAAAGCATTATATGCAATGTTTTCAGTTGCCATCGATTAATATAGATTACAGGTACCATCTAGCAGATGAACAACTTTCCAGTTTTATTGGCCACTTCATGTGATTATAATTTTTTTCCTTCATGTACCCCTCATCAGCCACACCCCTCTTGGGGTGTGACTGATCTGATCCTGTGACATCATGCTTCTGGATTCAATCACCATAAAACCATTAACTCTCTTTTGGCTGAGTGAAAAAAGGACTTTCTGTGGGCAATGTGGAACATTTTCATCACTTGCATTATTCAATTCCATTGCTAATATTATTGAATGCCAATTCATGATATTTGTTTTCCTGTGCAAAATGACGAAAAAGTCTTTGCATTTATTTTGTTTAAAATAAAGATAACACATGAACATTATTTAAAGATTTATTCAAGAATAAACGATAGGAAATGTAATAAGCATTTTATCGCAAAATTCAAGTATGATGTCAAAAAGTGACCCGACGTGGCTTGCAAAGGCTAAAATATCACATCAATTCGGTCTAATCATTCCATTAAATCTTGTTCTCGTCAACCTGGATTGAACGTGGGACTTCGGACAGGTGAGGGAACCAAAGTGTGGAGATTCCGATTGCACCTACTGGATACAAGTGCGTTAGTTCAAAGTATTTCACGTGCAATTCAAGTTTAGATGTAGCTAAAACGCGTCAAGTTGATACGCTGAAAATTATCTGTACAAGGATCATCATACAAGGATCCATCAAGAAAACTTTAACACCAAACGTGGCCAGCACGGAATTTTTATTCTCCTCAGGAAATGGAGGACTTTTCACAGGCTGTCTATTTTCACGAAATTCATGAAAACTATTCCATACGCATGCCTGAGAAGATCCACGTTTAGGGTTCCCGAATTTCCCACTGTTGCACTTTCAGCGTGTGCGGTTTTATTACAAATAAAAGAGGTGTGGGCATGAATCGACGTCCTCGCCTAATCAACGAAGATTTTCAAATGAGAAACTAATTAAAATATGCCCCCGGACCACGATGAACCAGAAACGCTTTCTTGAGCTTTCTTTTATCTCTTTTTAAAGTCATCTCTGTTTGCTAAAGGATTATACGAGTTTGACTTCGCACGGAAAGTGGAATCGCAAATGGCACGATCTCGTCTCACGGTGAACTCGTTACCGTATCAGTAAGCACTACTCCACTACTCTACGGTCCAATGTCAGGATGTAGTGGCATGACCACCGCAAGGAGTGAGGGCACACCGGAGAATCAAGGGGTCCCATCGCTTGGGCCACGAGGACCAAAAGAGTAAATAGCCGCCCAAAGTGGCGTGCCCAAGGAGGGGTTTTGGTGGTCATAACCCCCCCCCATAGGATACATTTTACAAGTTCGATTCTCAAAAATTTTTTAATTTGGTCATCAATGCAGGGTGGGTTACCAATTTTTTTTTGTCAACAATTTGAGACTTTCTGGGTATGCTAATGTAGCCGACCGCAGGAGAAAATCGCCTGTTGAGATCGGATTCTAAGCTGAACCCCGGTCGGGTTTAGCCCGAAACCATAGAGTGTAACTAGAGTACTTAGTACTCCAAGGGGTAGGGGAAGGTCGAAATATTACAGAGACATCTGGTGGCTTGTTATCGACAAATGAGCTCTTTGCTCACTGCTCGGCCATGGAGGAGTTGTTGATGTGCGCACGCTAGGTGGAGGATCGACAGCGACATCTATATTGCGACCCTGTCAATGAATATGATTCGAGCTGAGTGTCGCCTCTAGTTACACCCTCTACTCTATCCCGAAACCTTCACCACCGAGCCGAGGCAATACGGTCGATTTCATTAAAAAGTCCGAAAATCCTTCGGTTGGCTTCCCCTTCTGACCTCAGGATTGAGGTCGATCGCGGATTCCATGAATTACATTACTCCAGTGCTTTTGAGGACGAAATATAGTATTCTCCTCTGGAAATTCTAATTCATGGAACCTGAGGAGCACGAGCCTCGAGGGAGCCTTCTAAACCACCTTTGAATCAATAGTCTACGCTTCGAGTCGGTTCTAAAGATAGATCCGGAGATTAGTTTTTCCTTTTCCTTCCTGTTTTTTTTTTTGCCTTGAGGGATTTTCCCCCATTTTTATCCCCTCCTACAGCCGTTATATGATTACATCAAATTTCAGACGTAATAAAAATATCCCCCGGTACTTTCCAAATGGAATTCGTACGGTCTGACCGATGTATGTCACGTGATAAGAACGACCACATTCGACCCGATACGCTTACGAAGGCTTATTTTACGTTGCAGGTCTGATCATGGGCTTCCAATTCCCCAACTACGTGTCGCAAAGGACTCTCCAAAGCTCGTGCATTGCCAACCCCAACAGCGTCTACTTCCACGACTGGGTGAGCGCTTTTTCGTTCCGAAGAAATGGATTCACCCAGAGAACGGATGCGGAGGCAGCTGGCATCAATCACGGTCTCATTAATCCGGTTACCACGAGACCCGAACGGAGAAAACTCCTGTTCCGGCGAAATGCGAAGGGACGACATGGAAGACGACATGCGACGGCATTTCGCGAATCACCCTCCATCTCTCTCCATCATTCCCATCCCCATACGCGAGGGCTAAATGTCATCGCATGAGTATCACTAACAAAAAAGGCAAGAAAGTATGAAAGGGCTCTCTTTCGAAGTTGGTCCTCGTGGGTCTATATGGGGAGGAATTAAACGCTCACGGGAAACGAATGGTTGAGGTTATGAAGCCTCTCGATCAATATCGCAGGAATAATGAATGTCGTTTTTGAGATTCACTATGCTCGCTACTCGGTGTCGATATGAAGGGAAACTAACCTGTCTCGCTGATAGATCATGAAGACGACGCGTTTGTCAACGATCGACGATTGGAATCCGTCTTTTTTTTTTCATTGCGTATTTAAGGAAGAGATCTGCATCGGTAAGGAAAAGGCAAAATAGACTCATCGGATGGCACATGTGACTTTAGCCTCGGGAGAAGTCCAAGCTTTTTTGCAAATGTTCCCAGTGCATTTTCCAACCAGACTGCGTTAGTCAGAAAATTATTTAGGTTACCGACACTCGGCGATTTCAGCAACAACGTAATGACAACCAGCCAAATGCGAACTTTCTACCAGTGAATATCGGAGTAATGATGCAGTGATGTGATGAACGTGCCCTCACGTCGAATATTCCCCTGCTGTTTTCTGGCAGGAGAGCAACGCATTCCGGGGCGTCGTGAATAACTGGCTCTTTTACTGGAACATCACAAATCCCACTCAAGTACTTCGAGGAATTCCACCGAAGGTAAATTGCATCTTTTATTTCGTTTCTCTCGAGCCTAGCAATCGATGGCATTCTTCGAATAAGTGGATTTCATTGCCTTTGCGGCTTCAAATATGGAGTTCCCCTCTCTCCCGAGGGAAATTACGGGGAACGATGCGGCATATGAGACTTTGCCGACCTGAAACTGCCAGCCGCAAAAAAGAGGCCGTATTTCCGAGTCTCATTAGGGCCTCTTATTTCCGCTCGAGCGACCCGTATATGGGGCCATATCACATGTTAGCAGGAGACAGGCAGGTTCGCCGAGACGACATCGAGCACGATGTAGGCCCAGCTCTGTCTCGTACATTTCGCTTTCCCTCGGTGCGTGATCATCATCGATGTGGGAGGGGAAGTCTCTTTTCTCTCCTCCTTCTCCCCCTCCCCCTCCCATCTTTTTCTTTTCTGTGATCGATGGGATTGAGATAGTGATAGATGACCGAGACCTTCACCATCACTCTCTATGATATCTGATATATCTCGGTGCTGAGTGGAGGAATCAAAATCCATGCTTCGTCTTCACCTCTATCATCTGTATCGACTGTAGCTACCCTTCCCCCCTATCGGTACACACTGCAAGAAGATTAATTCATACGGCCTTGCGTTTTTGCAATTCCTTCCTCTTCGAGAGTTTCCTGTCGAATTTTATTGCATTAGTAAAGCGTATCGTGCCGAGAAACGATCACGCAAAGTCTTCTTTGCTCCTCCCAAGCAATCGCGTAGAAGTTTCTCAGAAACCTACCCATTTTCCCGCATCTCTTCTCTGTTTTCCCAGATGAAATTGGTGGGGCCGTACGCGTACGAAGAGATGGAGAAGAAGCAGAACGTGAGATTCAACGGGTACTACGTGACGTACACCCGTTGGCGGACGCAGAAGTTCTTCTTCCAGGGACACGACGAGAACGACACGGTAGGGCAGCCGTTCCAAAACTTTTTATGTTGCGTCCCCTTAGCGGCCATGACTTAGCATTGCCTCCTCTAGCAACCCTGGCTTGGTATTGCGTCTCCCAAGCACACCCTGGCTTAGTATCGAGTCTCAGACCCTAGCTTGGCGTCGCGCCCCCTTTCCTTCCGAGAGAAATACCGGGAAATGCAGCCTACCAAAAATGTTTTCATATCGGATGATTGGAGAAAAATACAGGGTGTCCCATAAGTCCCTTTACTCCTGAACCTTTTCCTTGTAGAATAGGGTAAGAAAATGAAGCTTATGCAAATGTATTTTACATTTATTGTGACATTAAAAAACACTCGTTCGACAATGTAAGGGGGTTTTGGTCACTCATATATTCCGATTCCCCATCTTCACAAATCCATGGATTGCAACAGTTCCAGGATCGGGTCACAGCTAGGAATAGGATGATCGGACACCAAATTTAATGAGAACGATTCTCACATGCCCACATGCTGGGTACACAAATAATCAAATCTGAACCGGACGGTAACGGCGCAAAGCTTATTTTCAACTTCCAAATGGCACCGAATCTTCGCGTCGGTAACATGAGGATGCGGAAGGGAATTTTCGAGCACCTGATGGAGACCTATTTATTTGGAGAAAAGCAGTGAACCAAAACGACACCGAGTATTCGGGTTATGGCTCGAAGAGACTCGCAATCCATTCGTCGTCTCGATTTGGATCGTAGGAGATCGCGGATGGAAATGAACACCAGCTGAAGAATAATTCAGTTTCAAAGCCTGCGCTCGAAGGATTGTTTTTACTTGGTGTTGTGTTCCTGGAGAAAGAGCATAAAAGACCTCGGTCTGGTATTTCAGAGAAAAAGGGGGGAGTGGGTTTGCGTCCTGCTACTCTGCTTAAATCTGCTTTCCTTCAGCGTCTTCACGAGACTGAGAAGGAACGGGAACATTCTTCAGTAATAAAATGAATAATCCATGTAAGACTTAGTTTTTGAAATTGCACATTATAATAAATTTGAAATAAAACTAAAACTCCCATGACCTGTCCATCCCCCCTTTGAGAACCGCTACGGTAGGAAAACAAAAATCCCCGCTTAGTAATGCATGCTGATTTTTTGGACACGAAGAAGGAAACGGTGTGGAGAATGTTCACTTCGAGTCCAATCCGGATTAGTAAATCAGGAAATAATTGACCATCAGGAACAGAGCATGCATGGAAAGTAACATGTTGAGTTGCATCGAATTGTAAAACAATCGAGGAAAGTAATTTACCGGGCTCGCTGCTGTTTGAATACTTATTTCTGAAAACGGTGAAAGCTACTGCTGTTGTTTGTCCCCCCTGGTAAACAACCTCAGATTTTATATTGTATTTAAAAATTTTCAGTGTTTTCCGTCAGCTGGTTTAGCCAAACGAGCACTTGAGAGAGTTCGCCAATAAAATGTGTCCTCGTCCAAGAAGGCTCAGAAATGGATTAACAATGTGATGACCTTGCGCCTGGACGATGGTATTCGCCTGCTCTTTTCATTCAACGATCGCTCTTTCAATTAAATCAGTTCACACTTTCGTCCAGAAAAATCGCTTCGATACTGGTCCGTCTGCCTAAGACAAATGCATGATCACAACCGACGCAATAGACAATTTGGAGCGGAAACGATGAAGGTTTCCCTCTTTCGACGTGGGGGCGAGGCTTTACAAAAATGTTACTTGCAACTTCCAAAATGCTTCTGTGGTGAAGCCAGATGAAGTCAAAATCCGAAATTTTTCCTACAGAAGACAAGACGTAGATGCATGCATCCCGAAAGATACATCACTGCAGCAATGAAAGATTTCCCGAAATATAAATTCAAACGGACGCGTTTTTTTTTAAATATCTTTTTTAGAATTGCTAAAAGTCCGAGGCAGAATGTTTTTCACGAAGTTCCCCCGCCGTTTCTCGGGATTCTGAGATATTTATCATCTCTAACGGCCACTCTTGTCGAGATGACGAACAAAAGAGTTCCGTCATCCGCGTCTTTATGGATTTCCTTGGGAAAAGGTGAAAGGGGCCACTCGTGGTAATGGCCCTCTGGAGATTGAAACACGAGACGGGACGGAATGTTTCATGTCGGGACGGAAGAGGCACATTCCCAAGCATCGCCATCGAGTGTCCGAGCCGAAGACGAACTCTCAGGAGGAGGATCTGCCTCTTCTATCTCGATTCCAAAAGGCGCGGAATATAGAAAAGAATATCATTTTGCATAGACCCGAGTTTTCATCGTCCTTATTCCATGCTGCCAAACGATGACGAGTCGTATGATGCACCTAGAGCTTCGACTATATTGCTGCTCGTGCGGAAGCTAGGGTCTCGAAGCAAGAAGTAAGCTGCAGGGTTTCCATACGAAGAGGGAACCTCTCACGATCGGCGAAGACGGTTGCGAGAATAGACCACACGTGAAAGAAGAGTGCCACTTCCCCATCGTTCCTTCGAACTTCGAGCGAGTGGTCCTCGACGGCAGAGGCCCCCAAAATGCAGTTCTAGAAGTGCTCCTGTCGGCTTGCAAGGGATTTGGGGGGAAACGGTGCCTAGGCGCAACTAATGTGGGAGTGGGACGGCTCTCGAGCGGATTAGACTCCCGTCTTGACGAAGGCAGCCCCCACCCTTCCGGACAGCAAGTTATCGATTTTGTTGACTCGATGGCCCGACAGTTGCTGCTATATAGGATACCACACATTCAAATTCATGCGTTTCCTTTCGACACGTCCCATCCCATCTCGTCCCTTTCGTGGGAGAAATCTCATCAAGCTCCAATAGTTCCGGCGTGTCAGTCTGCGTGCGTTCCTACTTTTGTCAGAAGATAGTTTTAAAAATAACCCTGTGATTTCTGCTAAAAATTGACATCCTGACGAATATTGGCTAGGTATAGTATGGGTCTGTTTTTAGAGAGATTTACTGAAAAACAGACTTTGTATCTGGAACTTTAAATCCACGCAAATATCGGTATCGGACGGTTGGGCGAAATGGAATGAGGGATGGGTCGATCACAACGGCATTCTAATTCATGACAATGATGATTAACCACGGATGACCTTTCATTCCGATTTATATTATGGGCTCTAGAAGTGCTCGATTATGATTATGATTTTACGACTGATGATTGGTCGATTACGATTGCTTACGACTAAGTGACAGTTTTAAGATTACGATTATAATTACTTTTACGATTTAAAAATTATCATCTTGTCATGAACGTGGCAAAATAAATGCGATAAATTATTGAAGTCATCGAGCAAAAAAAAGCCACTTGAACCCATCGGCGCATCCCGCAATGCCACGAGGACTGGGGGTTATGCCGTAAATCTTGGAACATGCGCCGATTGCAATTAGAATAATCGATTCTGATTGGAATTATATTCAACAAGAACTCTGATTACGATTGCGAATAAAGTGAATTGAAAATTTTCAGACAACGAGTACGGTTGTAATGCAGAGAATGGATGTCGGGACAGATGCCTCCCGCTACCAGCCCTTGTCTCCCCTCCTACTCTCTCTTTAATGATCCACTTCACCTATTTCTTCTCTCTCGATTCATGTTGAAAAATAAATCTAATCGATGAATGGATTGCGGCGGTGGAGAATTTAGGGAGCCCTCGTAAATCGTTCGAAGAGATGACGTACACTACCTTCCCTAGAGTGAAGGGTCACCGATGAGCGCAGCCATCGCTCCATATGTAAAAAATTGAGTTGTATTTGGCATTCCGTACGGATGAGAGCGTGAACCCGTCCCGGTCGGTAAAGTTACCAGCATGTCCACAAGTCTTCCTTATTGCTATCGCAACATACACCTTGCTGCATGGCAGGCCAGAAGTATCGTTGGAGCGCGACTGGACTCCCTCGCCAAATGGTATCAAATAGCCACGCCTCGTTATAACGCAATAAGCTCCCTTCGTGCTGCATCTTGCTATTAACTGATGCTCCCAACACCAGACAGGTATTCTATGCCGGTTGCCTGACACTCACACAGTTACTAAGCCCACTCCTCAGTGGCGTTACACTATTATGTCATTATTTGCCGAGTGGGCCTTGACTTTCGACAATATATCGCATATCATGATGTCCATTTTAGGGAAAGGAAACGCATCTCTAGACCGGGCTTGGCTAACTTTTTTTTTCATCCTGATAAAAAATGGAGGTGGTCCACTTTGGTTAAACTTAGCTCGTTTCAATTCTCTCAAGATTTATATGACACATTTTTTAAATCCTTAGTTATGGACGTACAACCCCGCGTACTGGGACGCACGAAGCAAGTACTCGGGCAATCGTCTGCACATGTTGGGAATTCCCAGACTGGCAGAGCTCATAAACCGACGGTCGCAAGTCTTCACTTCCGGGGAAGATTTCACCCTCGGAGGAGACTACAGCCGAATCCATTTCGATTCGTGGATCGAAGCCCGACCCGAACGCCGCCTGGATCTTTTCGCAGCCTCCCAAACAGGTGAAAGCGGATTTTAATCGCTCTGCCGAACTCCCCTCGCGCCGTACACAACTCTTCACTCTCCCTCTCTATTCCCTCGCTTTCCCATCCATCTCGTCTCCTCGGACCGCGAAGGACGGAGTCATTTGGGTGCATCATCTGGAATCATCTAAACTTTAGATTGTTTTTTCTTGGCTGGCGCCGGCTGGTCCCGGAGTTAATCGAGTTTGGAGTGGATTCCTGTCCCCAACGCTGCAGCCTTCTTCCTTATTTATGAATTCCTTTTCTCATCGCTACGAGAAGGATCATATCGGATATTCTAAGAGGATGCATCAGAGTGATTCTTCCATTAATCATGGATTTTCCGCGGTACTTTCTCTTTCGAAACCGAAAACTTTCGCGACCCCATTCCATCGGTACCTTCCATGACTTCCCTCGTCGGCTGTCACTCGAGTCACGTGCGAAATCCAATTCGTGGAATTCGGCGCGATCGTGAGCCGTAGACGGCGAAGTACGGAATCGAGTCTCCTCGCTTTCGCTCGTAGGAAGAAACGAATGAGTCGGATGACCTACTTTCGTGAAGGAGCTCCATACCCCGCCCATTTTTCCAGGGAAAGTAGGAGCAAGAGGGGGAAAAACCCACAGGCGTAATACCAGATGAAGTGTCATTCTCGCAACTCCTTTCTCCACTCCGACGGCAACATTCACCGAAGCCGAAAGTGAAGTGAATGATGGAAGTGTCGTCTATCCCTTCCGTTGCGGCATGCATGATGAGGCCTCGTTTCCACGAGTTCGCTTATTACGAAAAATTTATTTCAACGAGCAAATGGTTTATCCCCGACGACACGATGCATTACGGGCCGGTCGTTTCTAATCGGGTTTCAGCAGTGAGATTCTTTAGTAACTCGGAAGACTCAATTTTCCCTCTTAACATCCCGCCTGGGGACGTCTCTGAGATAATAATAAAAAGTGAAGAGTGACCGGGAGTGCGAGAAAGTACATTATACAGGCTCCAGCCAGGCTCATTTCGGACGGTAAATGAGTTTGGATCCTAGCAATTAACGAGATCGTTTTGTTCCTGCGCACTAGTTATAACTTGAGCTATCACGACGGCAGGTTCTGGAAACATGAATGCATCGACCTGGGGTATCGGTGGTACGAAGGGTTACGCAGAAAAAAGTTCTCGTACCGGTTCTGCAACTTTTTCATTCTTTGAAGCGCAGATGTAATTTCTTGTATTTTGAGTTGGGTCTTGGGAGTACGCGGACTAAATATTTTGCTTCCTGTTTTTTTTTTTTTAAAGAAACATTTTAAAAGAGTTTTTGCTTGTGATGGACGCTTCGACTTACTTCACGAAAGTGAATGAGGAACAAGGAATTTCTCGAACCACCTTAAAAATTCGGAGCTTTAAATATTTTGCGAGTAAGTGCGGAAAAGTGTGCTACGTCCCAGAAATCTTAAAGACGGTCGAGTGAAGTAGACGATTCGAACATGTTTAACAGGGACGACGCAAGGTTAGTGCGCGATCATCGATATGAATTCAGGAGTGGAACCTGACATGAAGTGCCTGAATCCCACCATGAGGAAAATCAAAGTTTTCAGAGTGGTCATAAGGCAAGCATCGACGACGTTCACGATTGAATATTGCGGCCCTGTTTCCGTTCGGTTTCGCACAGCCCTTCTGGAAAATAACGGCATCGGAATCTCGAATGCTTAAACTGCATGACCGAAATTCGATGAGCATTTTTCGATTCCCATTCTACTGCCTCTATCGAATCGTATTGAAATTCTCGCTATCACCAGATGTGTCGGAGCAATACTTCGGGTCGGAAGAGCCGAGCGAGGCCATGAACTTATACCCGACGTTGACCCGACGAGGGAAGTGGAAATTTGGAACGGACAGCTCCGTGTGCTACTCGAAGATCCACCAACTTTCTCCCGACGTTTGCGGTTTGGCCTTCGTCGTCGACGTCGTCCGAGACGGCGGCGCCAGGGACGACGTCTACGCCAAGTTATTTCAACTCGCCAGGGGAATTTTCATCCGGGGAACCGCGTGGAGTCGGGCGAACGACACCGAATCCCAAAGACGACTGCTGCAACTATTGGTTGACTACATTCTGCAAGTCTTGCTGCCTTACAGCGAATCGGCGACAGAGGGACTGCCTCCATTGCTTCAAGTGACGCAACGGGAACTCGCATTGGGACACGAACAGAGTTTCTGCGTCACCTGCGTCGGGCAGTGCAACAGCAGCAGAAGAAGTAAAGAAAACCTGACATGCCCCAATGGGATCCTCTATCGATTCGAGGTCAGAGGAATCCTGGAACACTCGCTCAACGAGGGACAGGCTCTGCAAAACGGCCCCGTCATCAATCTCACGACCTGTCTCCTTGGGAGGAGCTTCCACAACAATCTTAGGCTTGTCGGTCAGTGAGTCTCCTGATCGTATGGTAAGAGACGATAACAATGGGATCATTTAATCCGGTCGAATTCATTTCAGAAATAAACTTTCGGAATTGAATTCAATTGAACACCTATTACGAGTGAATCACTTTTAAAATGAAGAGTGAGACTTAAAATTAAACTAATTTAAACTTAATATAAAATCAGATAGATTGAACGCGTTTCCAGTCAATATTCTGCATGTGCAATCTAAAGATCGTTGAACATATCCCACTGGACGAGAAGCATACTTTGATTCCCCTGTGAAAGCTGGCTGTTGCTCACGGTGAGTACAATGCAATGTAGGGATGGAAACGGAAGGTGAATGGGAGTGGACGAGTTCGGAGGGTTTCACGTGGAGGATCCCCCCGACTGCGACTTTGCGGTGTTGCGGCTCCGTTCCCCATCCCGGTGGGACCCGAAATTTTCATCTCGAGTATCTGGATAGTGGGATCCCCTTTCAAGGAGCCGGAAACTTCTACAGCAATGGAATGAATCTTGCTGCATTCCACATCTCGCAAGGTAGCTAGGACGTCTGTCCGACGTACGCATTCTCTGTGAACCATGTTCCAAGAAGATAACACGTTTCGATTTATGTTCACGCTGAATCACTTCCGAAGTGGTTCTTAGAGATTCATATCATATGTATTTGTATACCTTAGTATTTCCATCGAAACTGCGGGCAGATTTAGCCCTATATTCCTTTCGGAGTCAACGCCATGATGATTTATTATGGAACATGTGTCGAGAATGGCTTTCTGTTGATTTAACAGGGTGGCTCCAGGAGTGGAAAGAGAATCAGAGGGGACTGAGGAACACTCACCATCCAGGGTGGCGGATCTTCCACTCTGATGTCACAGAAGCCTCAGAGATTCCTTCCAGATACAAACTCAACCTGGTAAGAATTTTTCCATGTCTCATTCCGCATTTTTCCTTCGCTCGTGAAAACTAATTTTTCCTAAGTAATTAAAAGAGAATTTTAAAAATGTTTCAGATTGGAGTCGAGCCCATTACTGGTCATATATGGGAGAAACATTCCTCACAGCAATGGCGGATTGTTAACGGAACACAGAGTCAGCCGATTCTGGTCCTTTACAGAGAAGAATATCCATCAGATCTTTTGGCAGCAAATTACTATCATCAGGTGGAATTTTTTTGGCTTATTTCGGCAATCTCAAATTTGTGACGTTTTTAAGTTTCCATCAACTAGTTTCTCATGGAAAAAATTGGTATTTTCCTTTTCATGCATTGAATATATCAAATACAATGAAAGCAAATTAATCTAATCTTGTGATATAAAAGAAATTGTGAACATGACAGGTGTGGGTGCTGCTAGCTGTGGCATGTGGAGGAGTCATTGCATTCAGCTGCCTTGGTGGATGTATCATCATCTTTGGATGCCTGGTTGTCATGTTTCATCGCAATCACCGCATCGCCCCATTGAAGATCTGGGGTCGCACCTTTAGTCTTGGGAGTCGGAGAATGAGACAAGAACCCTGATGCACTCCAAGAGACAAAAACCTCAAAGACTCTTATGACCTGAATAGATTTATACCCATCTAAAAATCATTAGTGAAATATTGCATTCCATAATTGGACATTAGCAATACATATGAACAACCTTTTATTATCTTATCTTCTACACCAGTACTTCTTACTCTATCACCATTCAATTCAAGCACAAGGATTCAAGGGCTTGATTCCTTCATGAACAGCGTGCCAAACTTTATTAGAATGTTATAAATTCAAATATATATTATTGAACTTCAATTGAATGGCTGACATTCCAGTGTATAGATTTTCAGAAATATTAGGCTACATTTTATAAAACTTCTTAAATATAAAAACTTCTGTTAAACAAGAATTATGTATTGAAAACACCCTGATAGTACCATATTATGATGTACCTGCAGAAAATATTTTTTCCATAATTGTGATCATGTACATGAATTTTCTATGTTGAATTTTCAGAGTTTATGACTGAATAAGATTCCTGCATGCTGAGAATACGCAGATTGAATGAAATGATATTTTCAGACTTGAAAAGTCTTTTTCATTACTCTTTCAGGCCTCTAGCAATGCAAATTCCTATTTTGAGCAAAGGAGGACTTCCCATCTTTTATCCTTTCATGTTCATTTTTCACATATCAGAACTCTGTAGACCAGCCATTATCAATGGAAGATTTCAAAAGCTATGGTGGGGGGCTATTTATATCACTGTATATGGTATCTTGAAAAAAGGTCGCATCTACATTAGACAGTATTAGTGTCAGAATTTCTGCTCAGAAATGAGTCCTTACTGAATTCAAAATAAGTAGATTCCTTCACAATCCAGTTAATTCCAGCTTTTCTCAGTCAGAAGTTCTATGCCTTTTTAAGCTATTAATTCAACCTACTGATCTTTGCCTGACTAGATAATAATGCACCATCTTCCACCAGTATAGACATCTTTGGGCAGAATTCTTTCATACATATAACAAATACTTCTTTTTAGATTATTTCTACATGCATTGAAAGCAAAATGACATTCTCCATTAAGGGGACCGACCAAACTTGAAGGAATTCTGACACATGTTGATTTTCAGCATTGTATAAGCATGAAAGAGTTTCTCATTCTAAGCAATGAAGTAATGGGACTTCAGGAAATACCAAGATACCCTCAGCTTTAGAATCCACTGAAGAGTGTTGGCACAGGGTTGGACTACTGGCTATGAAGACACCAGAAAACTTCAGACAAGGAGAGCATGTCAGCAGAACATGATTTAGCCTGCTGAGCCTCCACATGCGATGCATTATATAAAAATCCCTTTCTAAAGTTGACTCATAATAAGCACACATGGCCAAGTTTTATTTCTGTTCCAGGTCTTTGAGATTTTCATGCATTCTAGAAGTGTTCTTTCAGGCCATTTGCACTCCTCTATACTGCAGGCACGTAGCATTCCATATCTTACATATTATGATTCAATGATGAAAAAAGTCATATTTTTCCATACTGAATCTATTTGCACACCCTTCAAAGATGCAAGTATTGCACTACAATCAATCACATGATTTCACCTTGAACTATTATCCAAATCATACCACAGCTCATCCAAAGTCTGTGATTTGAAAGAGCAATGGAAGACATGTGAGAATGCAGAAAGGAAGAATGGTGTGGCATCAGACACAGAGACATCTCCCCCAACCTCCTGGGAGAGGCTAGTAACACCTTTGTCAGCAATCCCACAGGGAACAATATGGTCAAACCAGCTGAGGTCTGTGTTGCAGTTCAGGCCAATCCCATGTGATGTCACCCAACGACTCATTCGAATCCCTGGAAGATACCAGTAGTATATGACATTCAGCGTATTTGATAGGATTTTACAACTATTTTCTATGTTATATCTATATTAAGATTTCTCACTGCTGAACATCACAACCTGTTTAATTTTCTTCCAAAATAAAGTTTCTTTACTGGAATTCAATTTTTTCATTCAAAGCAAGTGATTTTCATTTCATCACTTTCATCAGACTGAATGCATTTGATGCTTAACTGAGTCTTAGAACTTAAAAAAAAAGGCACTCAATCCATTCAGTCATTCATGCTTCTTTTATTCAATTACTCACTAACCCCTTCACCAGCAGACCAAGAAAATTCTTGGGCTGACTTCCTTTGGTGAAGAGACTTCACACAAGGTCACTCACTGATGAAGAGACATAAGTAACTCAGGCTTAACATAAAACCATACAAATATTCTCTCACCAATGGCAGCAATCTTCTTGTTCTGTACCCAAACTCCAGTATATGGGGAGGTTGAGGCATAGATGTCAAGCTGGTGACAAAGCTCAATTATAGTCTTCTCCAGTTGGCACACATACCACTTGACACTGGGGGTCCAAACTTGGAGATTTAGAACTGGATAAGCTACCAGTTGACCAGGGCCATGGAAGGTGATGAGGCCGCCTCGAGATGTTCGATAAAACTCAGCTCCCATCTCTTTCAGTCTCATCTCTTCACTTGGAGGATACAGCGAACTGCGTATACCAACTGTGTACACTACAAGGGGATAGGTACATGGCTTTGGAATCATATGGCAATAAGATAAGTTCAGTTCTTTGAAAATAGACTTCAGGCATATATGGTAAGAATATGCAAGGCATTCACACTTCTCCATTAAAAAACTTTTATTCTATGAGGGCACAGGAAAGTAGATGTTAGCATGACTGCCTTTGATCATGTATGTAAAAATTGAATCCATCTCCACAGAATTGCATCAGACCTAATTTCTCACATTTGTGTGCTTGACTGAACCTTGAACATCTATTTTAAGGTGAAGCAAATAGTTTCTTGGCCTAATAAAAGCTTTACCACTCAAGAGCATTATTCATATAACTGAGGAATAGAAGCAAGAACAACATTTTTAAAGCCACCTTATACATCACGCTTCAATTTAGCCTGTACATGGCATTATCGTGAACTAGGCTATCAGCTGGAATCAATCTGGTTCCAGATTGAATATTAAGAAATATTCACTTTTCCACCTGAGAGTTAAGATTTTTAACCCCTTGTTGCAGCAGTAAATATTCTTCAATAATCATTCTTCTACTTGAAAGAAAGGTAAATTATTGTCTGGCTGAAAATGTTTGAGATTGTATATTGGCCCTTTACCACACTTGCGATGGTAACGTAATTTCCTAAGTTTCCTTAAGTGTTAAACTTAAGCCTTGAAAAACATTATTCTTCACAAGGCACAATATGAAAAATTAAATCAAATTATCATGAATCAACCACCAACTGACTGATGCTGAAAACTTTAGGTTCCTCATGGATTCTTGAAGAGTTCCTAGATTGTGCTTACCCTTTCCATGGTACAATTGGAGCCTACTTCATTTTCCCTCTTCCTTCCTTTCTTTTGTGCATAACAGGAGTCCTGACAGCAATGAAAGATCATTGGAATGAAAATATGGAGTGGGTTTCTGGATAGAGTGCAACTGACATGCTTACAAACATTGAGTCAATGTTCATAAAGCCATGTGTCCATGAATTTAGGTACTTGGAGGGTCACTCATTCAAGTCAAGTCTTCCTATATCCTGTTACTGGGATTAGGTAAAGCCTACACCTCATCACAAGGGCATGGTTATTAATTCTAAGGTATAACCAACTCACAAGTTGTTAGAGGTCGGCCATGTGACACTATCAAAGCCTTAGTGATTGGTATCACAAGAGTCAAGTGACCCTCTTGTGAAAATGGTTATTTCAGACAATGTAACTTTAGATGCTTCAAAAAAAAAAGAAGAAACATGCAGGCTAACCTGGATTGTGCTCCACAAGGAGAACAGTGTTGAACTTCTCTGTGTTGGGAACTCTGCTTCTCTCTGAGATTTGGGCTTTGACCACTCTCTCCATGAGTTTCATGGCTTTACGGTACGGAAGTTTGCCCAAGTTCACACAACGGATCAAATGAGTTCCAGACATTTTTCTGTCAACGTCTAACTGTTAGGTCATGATCTAGGGTCTAAACAATATGCTTTCCATCCTCTCACTTCGTCTGGGATTTTTTACCCAATTGTTGCATTCCAGCCACATCCGGATGTTGAATCAACTTCAGTTTCTTCTCTCCCTGCCTCAACATGAACTCGATTCTCATAGTATCGCGGGTAGGGGTATCCATGTTTCGTCGAAACTCCGTCCGAACTGTCTCACGAAATCCAGGTTTGCCTTGTGACGCCCTGAGACACTTTTTGTAAAGACTTAAAACTTGCTTCTGCAATAAACTTCGACGGCTCATGTCCTTGGATGTTGATTAGATGGAACGTCGCTACGAGGAATCATCGTCCAAGAGTACACAGGGAGACCATGCCTGACAAGCAGACCGCCATTATGATACTTGGATGCCGGTATAATAGCAACAGGAAAATTCGGTTTCGATCGGGCCGCAATCTGGTCATATTCGGTTTTACTATGGTTCCCTCTTGCAAACCGCGGGATCCGAAGGGAGTGACGTATATTTATTAATGGCGACCTACAGACGACAGCTCGAGTTGCCTCTAACGTTACTCGCCAGTTCCGCCAAGTAGTGATCTCCCATGGTTAGGCATAGCCTCAAGCTCCAATCTGTGTCGCAGGTCTGGGAGAAACTGGAGCAATGAAGCTACTGAACGAGAAGAACCTGGCTGCTTTTGCTATTTCTCCACATGCCTCGGACAAGGAAGGCTTTATGTGGAAGAGGGGTCAAGTGAACAAGAGTTTTCAGAAGAGATGGTTTGTTCTCAAAGGGAATCTATTATTTTATTTCGAAAAGAAAGGAGATAGAGAACCTGCAGGAGTTGTCATTCTCGAGGGATGCACAGTCGGTGAGCTTTTCGTTCTGGAAATTAGTATGATGGCTCTCATGTGAGAGGATTCTTGAATTGAGGACCCAGGGCTGTATTCTATTATGTTAAGTGCGATTTTCTTCTTAGCAAGGTTCTTAGGTGGTATAGTCTATTCGGCCTCAAAAGACACTTGTGGCTTCGATCTGACAGGTGAAGTCTTGGTTATTAAATATCAATTATGCTCCTCATGTGAGACAGGTTGAATGGAGGGATTTTCCTTGAAAATCAGGGTTGCAACTTACTTTCGTTCAATCGGGTGAAGGGGGATTCCAAAGGATCTCTCAGCTGACTGAAAGGTGCTGTCCTTTATCTGACAACACTGAAACATGTCATAAACCTTTAGCTCCCCAATGACCTGCCTGAGGCCAGGTATACACATGTCTCTTTGACTCCTTACCTCTCACCGTCCCATCAATCAAATCTTTTGTCCTCAACTAAGTGTGTCTTTTGCTGCCAAAGAGACTATATCTGCCTTAATCAAATGCGAGGCCGAGGTTGAGCAATTTGCTTTAACTAAGTTTAAGATTTTAATAGAATACAGCCCCCAGTCCATGTTAGAGACATTGCCACAATCTCTGCATGATACAGGAAAACCTCGTTAATTCAATATCAGATAGTTCAAAGTCATTTACGTTCCCCGTCTGAGAAGATAGTGATTTATATGCTTTTACAGTTAACTCAAAATATGGATACTATGAAATTCAAAGGCATTTTCTGGCCCCAAGAGCTATAAACTCAGGAACGTGTTCGTTTACTTCGAAGGGCACTTTTCCCTACGACCTGCAGATGACCTGTCTCAAACCTTGTACTCTAAATAGCTGTAAAGCCAGCTAATTGCCTTGGAAACTTTATTTTTCTATTCAGAAGAATTCTAAATATAGACTAATGTCCCCTTTCACTAAATCTCCCCCTCTATTCTTACCTATCTCATGCACACCTTGTATGTCCTTCAGTCAAAAAACTTATAATTGCAGCAGTACTGTCTCTCTCTCTCTCTCTCTCTGTGTTATATGTAAAATGGGGGTGAATGTGCCATGGCAAACAAGAGGAAGTACAAGGAGTTAAGTATTTCACAGAAGTTGAAAGTTATATGTGAAGTGGACAAGAAAGTAAAATCGGAAGACTGATATCGCAAAAGAATTCAGCATACCACTTTCAACTCTATCCGCATTCCTTAAAAATCATGGCACCTTTGAGAAGCTGACAGAAGGTGGCCATAAACCAACAAAAGGAAGAGAATACGTGGCACAAAACATGTGGATTTAGTACAGTATTACAAAATGTCAATAGCCAAACTGGATAATTCAGACCCGCTTATTTCGGAGTCTATATTTTTTTATCCCCTGGATTTTAAATTAATGAGGTTTTCCTGTAGTGTTCTCTTGATAGTAATCCCTGATGAGAACTGATAGTCACATTTTTTATCCATGGGAAAAGAACCTACATTTTTTCATCATAATACATGGCCTGGAACATAGTCAGGAAACAGCAAGTTTTCATGTGTGCACCTATCATACATTCATATTAACATAAGGTCATTAAAAGGTTTTACAATATTGCTGCATCAAAATTGTGTCAAAGTCAATGACATTCAGTATCCAAACTCACAAGTTTCAAACAAATATCGTGAAGTGAAACTCCTAAACTACCTGCTCTATTATTCTATAAAAAGTGCACCCTCACTCTTTAAGGGGAGAGGGTGTGTCTGTGCCAAAATATATTGGTGAAAGTCCACAACTGGAAAGGGCATAAGAAATTATATATGGAACATGGAATTTACATCCATGAGAAAGTACAGGAATGGCATTACATGAGGATTTACTGTCTTAGGGTATGAGAGGTAGCAATGCATGAAACACAACTTGGCCCACAAAGGCTCCATCTGTGAGAACTTGCTGCTTATAGGTGATGCTCTGGGCCATGTCTTGGAGGAAAAAAACAAAGGCACTTTTCTCAAGTATAGATAATGTGCCCATCAATCTCCATCAATGATTGCTATCAAGTGAATGGATATTGGGTGGAGGCTGCAATGGTGATGGTGTCTCTAACATGGACTGGATACCTAGGTTAGGAATCCTCTTGCCTAATCATTTCTGACTTTCCCAATGAAATTCCAGCCCTTGGCTGGAATTCATTTCATTCATTTGTACTTTCATCATATTTGTTATATATTGATCCTTGCAGAACTGTGTGATGATGATGGCGACCCCTTCACATTCAAAGTTTCCTTCCATGGGACTAGCACTCGATCGTATTACTTCCGAGCTGAGAGCAACGATTGCATGGAGGAGTGGATGAAAGCCATGGCATGTGCTAGCTATAATTACATGAAGCTTATGGTCGCTGAGCTCCAGCAACAAGTGGAGCAACTTGAAGGTTTAATTTCTTTTATGCTATTTAGTCTAGGCTTTAATTTCTAGGCCTATGTAGATTAGACCATGCACATTTTTATTTTTTTTTTTCTACCTTGTTGGCTTTGCCTGACTGGAGGCTTCAAGGTCATGCTACAAAAAGAGAATAATTTTTCTGTCTCTGCCAGTACCAGTGTAAAAATGATCAAGAATGGAATACTTTTTGAAATTTTAAAATAGCTTGGTGCTTGACTGATATTTTAAACGATTATTGAAATTAATATGCCTCATGGAAGAGGATTTCATTGCTGCCAGTTTATTCCACTAGTAAATCTGTTTACTTTGGTGAATATTCTTTTCGATTCTTAGTTTCAGCAGTTGAGCATGCAAATCATACCTTGATCAACCTGCTGGAAGACATGCAGATGACAGAAGCACCATCATCGTCCTCCTCATCCACCAAAGAAAAGATGACATCGCACCCCCGTCCTCGCTACAACCCATTTAACTGGGAGGGGACCAAGATAGGACTTTCACGTTTTGCCTTCCTGACGGGAGGGCCGAGCGGTGTGACGAAATTCTCCTTCCCCGGTCACCTCTGTCGACCCTTCTTGGACATCCATCGGCACTTTGGAGTCATGATTTCTGAGTGTGCTGGTGCCAGAGGGGGATCGGTGCAGATGGATCTCCTCGATGTGAACCTCATCAATCTGTGATACAGCCTATGGTTGTGGGTGCTGTCTCTCATGATTGAATGCATGACAAATTCTGGATGGCTGCATCGTTCTTTCAGAATTTTTGTAGCCGTGCTTTCATATTCAGTAAATGCTCAAGCCTTAACCATCAGATTTTCTGCAGATTAAGGACAATCAACCAGTCTTCATATAAAGGTTCATCGTTTTAATTTCCTTTGCATATCAATCTTATTTATGTCTGTGTTCAGGAAGTACTAGTTTGTGTGGAATCCATTGATAGTCTTAGTACTGCAAGGAATCTACACATTTAAACTAGCTGTATATCCTTGATCTCACAGTTGTCCTCTTTTTGTCAGCTTGGCTTAGATGGGCATTGACCTCACTCTCTTTTCATTTCTTGGAAGTGGCATCACCATTTCAGGCAGGAGCAATGGATCAAGTTATTAGTGAAAATTCCTCACACAATTTTGACAGGATAATAATGAGAGACAAGAATTTATTTCGAAATTCATGTTTCATTACCAAGTCTTCATGACTTTGTGTTATGGTAACGATATTATTCTTGCCTAGGGACATCAACAAATCAATTGCCCCCTACCTTATTTAGAAAGAGTGGGTGGGACAAAAGGTTGGTTTTGCTTCCACAATAATTCATGTATGCTTCCTTTTACATGAAAGAGAACAGATCCTAAAATTATTTACAGGCTTGCATAGCACCTCCCTTTACCTGCTTGTTGACCAAAGTCTGGCTGACTGACAGTGTAATGAAAACGTTCATTCTCTGTGGCCCCCCCCCCCCTCCCATCCCATTCAAGAAGTTTGGTTCGCCAGTGTCCTTTCATATCTATTTATGAGTTGTGCACAATTTTGCTCTTTCACCATGTCCTTTCATTATCACTTCAGGGTTTATTTCCATGTACAATCTCTTGCAGTCACATTCCACGTTGCTTCTTGCATGTTCTGCCTTTCTTTTCTGTTGTGATTTCTAGTCAGAGGACATTGCCTCTGGGATGTGCCAATATGAAGCTTGATTCTGTGCTTTCAGCATAAATAAAGGCATTGAGTATATGTTTGATTTGGTTCATCCATTTATATACACTTTCAAGTTCCTTTTTTGTCGCATACCCACCTTGTCAGTGGGTAAGTGCCTTCAAAGGGGATCAAGTTCCTCAAGAAAACCTTAGGGTAAGTGAGACAAATTTCAACCGTTCGAGAGGAAAACGCCATGCCCTGTCCATTCACTCTTTCAGACTGGACTTTGGTGTAATTAGGTTGAAAAAAGCTGATTGGATTTCTTGTTACCCTGAATTATTTGATCTAGGAAGCTGGACTTCATAGGAGTATCGGAATTTGTCTCCCTTACCTACCTTCCCTCTGAGAAAGTCTGAGTTAGGGCGAAGGTAGACTTCCTGCATGGAGGATTCCAAGATGGACAAATCATCTAAATCCGTCCAAGGTTTATTTCGATGTGAACACATTTCAGTTTTGAACGTCAAAGGCGAGGATGATGAGGGAGAAGGGTGAGTTGGAAGGGCTTGGCAGCGTAGACCCGGATCATGAATCCAGCCTCACAATCCGGCATGAACGTGGCCGGGACGATGACGTAATGCCCCGGTTTCAACTCGAGCCGCCGGTAGATCTCCCGGTAGTTGATGAATGCCCCGTAGGATCCCGTCTCGTAGTGATACTGGAAGTAGTCCTCCGATATGCGGCGCCCAGGCTCCTCCGTCTGCGTGGCATACGACGGCATCCACGTGATCAACGGGTGGCAATCGAGTCCTGTCGTAGCCTATGTAGTAGGGTGACCAGACGTCCCGGTTTGGAAACTCCCGGTTTTGAGGGAAGCAAAGAACCAATACGATGAACTAAAATCCACTGACGTTTCCGGGGGAACGCGAGGATGTATAGGATGGCAGTCGATAAATCTTAAGGATTGCATTTTTCTTTCCATTCTGGTGTCCCGGTTTTTCGCATCGAAGGGACTAACATTTTGGGTGGATTTTTGAACAACACTATCTGATAATGCAGCTTTATTTACCGGATTTATAATGCATTTTCTCTTAAATAAAGCTGCATCATCGGATAATGCTCTGTTCAAAAATAATCCTGCTCTATTGGATGATACAGCTTTATAAAGTGGAGCATTATTTTTTCGATTTTTGAACCGGCCAGATAATGCTGCATTTGACAATGCTCTATTATAATAATCCTCGATTATTTTCAACACGACACGAATCGTTACATGAAACGCAATTCGCCATTATTTCACATTTTATTTCTTCGTGAACGACCCTGCACGACGACGAGGAGTAGTGGAGGGCTCTATCTGGGACAGCCAATCAAGGGAAGAGATTTCGCGCCGGAAGCGATGGTAAAACTTTTCCAAGTTTCTCTGTTTCCAACATGACGTCTTTTGTTTTTAAAGACTGTTGGAACTTGAAGAACATCTTAACTATACTTCCCAGGTCTGCGTATGTCATCCGATTTTTTGTCGAATTTCTATTTCTATTTCTATGTATTGAAGACCTGAAAAACAAATCTTCGGTGAAAAAATACGTCAAGGGGTTAACACGAGGGGATACGATTGCACACGATGCAAGCCGTGAAGCCCTTCTATTGCGACTGATGAAAATAATCCAACATTAACGAAGAAAGAGGACCTCTGGACCTACTCTATTACAATCACGAACCGATGTCTAAATAAAATGGTGCATTATGGAAAATGCTCGGTTCAAAAACCGCTTCTTGATAATAGAGCATTTTCCTGGAAATAAAGCTGCATTATCGGATAGTGCTCTGTTCAAAAATCCACGATATGTTGACGATGTCGAGAGAATGTCGATGCCGACGATCCGATGCACGGTCAACATCGACGCAATGTCAAAAATAAAAATACGACAAGCGACGAATCGCCGACACAGGGTGTTACCTCGTGCGTGCAACTGGCACGCGTCCCCGGTACTTTCGGAACGGTAATCGATATTTTCTCCACAGACGGCACCGAGGAAGGTATTCGAATTCCAGGATGCATTCGACTGTAGAGGCAACCCAACCCGATGAGATCCAGGGTGATCCTAGCCCGGGGAACGGAGAGAACGAAGTTCACGCGTTCGTGTGACTCCACGAGACGTCCCTTTCACCGTAGATAAATATCCCGAATCCGATTCTACGATTCGCATGGAAAGATCCATGTAGCGACCGGCAGCCATCTATTCTTTGGCTGCGATCGCTCTGCTTTCTCCGCGAGACCGGAACGTCCTTATCTAATCTCGGCAGAGAGTCTACGTTGAGATCGGAGAAGGGGTTCGGGTCGACGCCGACGATTCACGGAATACTTCGGTGATGAAATGGCGCCTTCGCATTCGTCTAGGTGTGCCATTCGATCGGTGCACGCGCAATGCACGTCGAGAAATCGAGACCCGTCTCGTTTCGACGCCGAGGCGATGTCGATTCCATGCGGCGATCGACGTTTTTCGACGTCGTGGACGTCGAGACTTCGATGCTGTCACAAAGTTGCATCGATATCGATGTGCAGACCGGGACGGAGCCAAAAATTGGAACGGGAAAGCAGAGTCGGAACACCGGTGAAGGTGTCGAGTGAACGAGTTCCAAAGTACAAAGTATTCCTTCGAAGAAGAAGCTCGCGAGTTCCCTATGTTCTCGAATGTGACATTTCTGTGGCTCGAGACACTTTTCTCTCGACCGTTTCGTGTCGTCGACGTGGATACGGTCGGGAAAACGCGATCGGGAGAAGTGGATTCGGTGAGACAGGTGGAAGTCGCAGATTCGTGCCGTCGATGGAATGCCCCGTCGAGAACGTGGCAGTCGCCAGCTCTCTCCCCCTGGGGCGAGGAACGGGAACAAGGGAGAAAAGAAAGAGGGGAAGAAGGAAAGAGAAAGAAGGGAGAAAAGAAAGAGGGGAAGAAGGAAAGAGAAAGAAGGGAGAAAAAAAAAAAAAAATGTGCATGGTCTAATCTACATAGGCCTAGAAATTAAAGCCTAGACTAAATAGCATAAAAGAAATTAAACCTTCAAGTTGCTCCACTTGTTGCTGGAGCTCAGCGACAGAAAGAGGGGAAGAAGGAAAGAGAAAGAAGGGAGAAAAGAAAGAGGGGAAGAAGGAAAGAGAAAGAAGGGAGAAAAGAAAGAGGGGAAGAAGGAAAGAGAAAGAAGGGAGAAAAGAAAGAGGGGAAGGACGGCCACAGGACGTCTCTATGCGCGAACCGATTTTATTTGGAAGTTGCTCGTTCCGCCGTAGACGCGAAGGATGTAGCCCGAATCGCACCCGGGACGATAAGTGGACGGCACGACGGTGTACCTCCCCGGCTCGAGTTCCATCCTCGCGTTCACCTCCCGGTGGTTGACGTACGGCGTCGCGGATGCGATCGGCGAGTGGCGACGGAAATGCCCGACCCCCAGCCTTCCTCCCGACGGGTTCTAAAGGGGGGGGATGGGATGGGAGACGCGGAAGGCCGCGTGGGTCGCGATGCCTCGCCGCCGGACTCACCTCGTAGACCATGAAGCCGATCTGGAGCATCTTCACGCCCAGGCTCCGCTGCTGGCGTCGGTATTCCTGCATCAGCGATACGAGCACGCTGCATTCTCCGTTCGGATCGTAGTCGTCTGAAACGGGAAAAAATGTCACCTCGCGATGCGGTACGATCTTAACGATGCGACTCGTCGGACGATATGCGGTACGCACCGGGCTCCGTTATCGTGAGCAGATACTGCGGATTCGTGGCGAATCTGACGAGGTCGTTGCGAGAACCGCCGGCGTTGTCGCCTTTCCGCCACGCCCCGTGGATCGCCTTCACCTGATGCACCGCAATCGCGAAGAGTCCACGACTGAGTCTTTTTCATCGTTTGCGCACGGAAGCGAGAACATCCTCCGGACGACCGTGGGATCGATTCGAGTTCTACCGTCGACCCAATTTTTACGATATCGAAAAGGAAAAAAAACGAGGCGGATGCAACGGGACATTTACCCAGCCCGCTGCGTCGATTTTCGTGCCTTCAGACGGCTGGACGGCCGCTTCCACGAGCAAGCGTGCATTTATTACCGCCCGGGTTCTTCCATGATTCACGACCGATCGATCGCGGTGTGGTGGCGACAAAAGTTCCAGTCCGACCGAACACGAACGATGGGCAAAAAGAAACAACGTGTGGGAGAGTTTCACCGGAATCGCCGCGAGGAACGAACGGCAGAGGAGAAAAGAATCTCTTTCACGGAAGCACTCGCGGGGCATCCGGGGGGCATCCGGGGGGCATCTAGGGGGCATCCCAAGCCAAGCGGCGAGTCGGCAAATCCCCCGACTCGTTGCATTTTCATCACCTCGTCCGTGCATCGTGAAATTAATCACAAACGGTTTCGTGCAGGGATCGTTTCTCATCCTTCTCATGCACTCGGTTTCTTCATCTCGGTGTTTCCCATGCGAGGAAATAAAGCACGCCTAGTTCTTCCTGCTTATCGTTCGCGTTCGCTCTTCGAGCCGTGTCGTCACTGCACCGCGATGTTTCGACCGCAAATCGTGGAACACGCCGCAGACGATAGCTGCGAGACGAGAGGGTATGGAAGGGGGGGGGGGGGGGGGGGGGGGGGGGGGGGGGCGGTGGGGGGGGGGGGGGGGGGGGTGGTTCCGACCGACCTGTCCGATGCGATCGACGATTCCGTCGGAGTCGAAATCCGGTCCCATGGTGCACATGGAAACCTCCTCGAACTCGAGGCAGAAGTCCTCGTAGGTAATCCAGAATTCCCCGTCCGCTTGGTGCTGCAGGTCCAACTTCCGCTTCGTGGATTCGTCCACGTACCGCCAGTTCTCGTCCCTGTCGCGAACGGAACGGATTCATCCCCGTTCGGAGCGGCGAACGCCGAGAGAGAAATCCCTCGCCTCTGAAGCGTCCGGAGGCCGTCGTCCCCCGATCAGATGGCCCGTACGGTTTTTTTATATATATATATATTTTTTTTATAACCCTCTGAGGTATCCGATTAGGAACCGGTTTCCTTTCCCGATTTAGTATGTTGGATTCGTGCGTGACTCGATACGTCCTGGAAATGGAAATCGCAACCGAGCGTCACGGGCTAAAAAATACGATCGTGCGATCCTTACTTGCTCGAGCTTCGCGATGTTGCAACGAGCCCTCGACTGCTTCCATATAAAACTCTCTCTCGATTCGATAAACGTTATTGCATTCTTCGCATCCCCATATTGCTTTCTCGCGTCTCACGCCTGAAAAACTGGACCACGTGAAACATTCTCAGGTCTCCACGTACGTTGTCGTTGGGTCTTCCCGATCCTCGGGATCATCATCGTTTCTTCACTTTCAGTTCGCCCTGCTTGCCTATATCCCTTCAACGGCAGACCGATCGTTTTCGAGATACGACTACACGTAATGAAACCCGACCGAAATGCGATGTTTTTTTCTTCCCGTCGCGAGAGACGACGTTTCGACGTGGCTCGAAATGCGAAGCACCGAAGTCGGTATGGTCCCCTCGAGTCGACGACGGCTCCGATCCCCCGACGCCTTTTGATGCACTTCGCAAAACCGCTTCGCTTCTCGTCCGCTCCATTCCGCGATCGAACGCGAGATAAAACGTAAACGTGAGAGTGACTTTACCCGTCGCACCAGGGACCCTTCCACTCGGCGGAGTTGGCCCAGGGGTTGCGGACCCGGACGAGGTTCACGTGTCCGAGGCGGGAGGCGTTGATCTTGGCGATCCCCGTCACCGTGTACGCGTGACCGCCGACCAACCCCATCGCGTCTGCCTTCGTCGCCTGCGTCCAATCGCCCTGAGAGCGAGAAGCTCACGTTCGTGACTGGTCTCCGTCTCGAGACTCCAAAGGGAGGAGGAGGGGGGGAAGAGGGGAGGAGGGAAAGGAGGAGGAGAAGGAGGAGGGCATACCTTTCGGGAGCAGGTGATGAAGGCGCCCGAGATGGCGGACTTGTAGAGACGTTTGAAGAGATTCGCTCTCTGGTCCAGACTGGATTCGGAGAGTTGATAACATTCGGCTAAACCTCCGGTGAGATCGACGAGGGCATCCATGGCCTGGCCCCCCTCGATCGCCTCGTAACATCCATGGATTCTACACGGAACACGAAGTTGGGTTCGAGTCCATCTCGACGATGGGAAGGGTGGGGGGGAGAGATGTGCTCACTTGGCATAGGCTTTCTCCACGAGGGGGATCCAGAACTCGTTTTTGTCCGTGCATCGGGCAAATATGAGCTTCCCGTGGAGGGTGGGGAGTCGATCGTCGATGTACACCGTCACCCATTGACCGAACTGCCAGAATCTCACGTACAGCGCGCCCTTGTAATTAGGACCGGTCAGGTCCTGGTCCGGCGGAATCACCTTCGAAATCGCCCCAAAACGTACGGAATGAAAGAACGAAAAAAAAAAGAGGACCGGAACCTTCCTCTGTTCCCTTTTCCCTCTCGGACGGAAGAGGAACTCCGGGCTCCGTGGGTCGGGGTCGGGTCGGGGTCGGGGTCGGGTCGGGGTCGGGGTTGGGGTCGGGGTCGGGGTCGGGGTCGGGTCGGGGTCGGTCCGAGAGGAAGGAACTCCGGGCTCCGTGGGTCGGGGTCCGTCCTTACCCTGTAGACGAGAGCCTCCTCCCTCGCCAGGGCCGCACAGGAAGACAAGAACCAACAATCTCCCAGATTCCCCTGGACGATGTCCGTCCGACTCACTCCGGCCACGAACAGTCGAGGGCTCGGGGTCAACTCCTAAGCGAAACGTGCCGTGAGAGGAATCTCTTCGCCGACGTCCGTCCGCTTTCCAAAATTCATCCGAACCGAATCGAACGCCGATAAAACGAAAAAAAAAGAAGCCAGACGAGCGTCGCATCTCGTCGCGACGGTTTTCAAAGGAAAACGAACGTTTCGAGAAGTCGGACGACGATCGGCAACGTGAGGTTCGAACGTTCAAATTCCTCAACGAAATGGTATTCGACCCAGTCTCATTTACGACGGCGTTTCCACCGAAATGGCTTCGAGTTCGTACGGCACCTTCCGCTCCCACTCGGTTGCATTTTGCGACTTCGCCTCGTTCGCATTCGTCGAGACCCATACAAAACGTTACCCCAAACGTGCGTCCAAATTTCACCGCTTTTCCCCCTAATCTTTACTCGAAGGGTCTTCTGACAGGTCGAAAGAGGGGAGAAACCCGGTTTTTTTAAATCTCATTTTCACCGTCCCAATTTTCCCTCGGGTAAAAATCAGTTGGAAGGGGAAGCGAAGGGGACGGAAGTCCGATGACGTCGGGGCCCACCGAACGGGTCGCATCTGTCGATCGCAAACGCGTCGATCGGCCATCCTTGTACGGCATTTAAATGCCCCCGTGTTGCTTCGCGGCCGATATTTAACTGCGGGTATTTAACTGCGGGTATTTAAGTGCGAGGTGCAAACAAACGCAAGCTCTCGGGGAAGAATTAATTCCTCATAAACTATTGATGGTAAAACGATGAAATGAAACCGTATTTACAAGAGCGATTCCACGAGGCGCTCTGGCAATACATTTAGCGGTGAGTTTACTTACCTTTCGACCGATAAAGGTTAAAGAAATGCGAAGGCGTCGAAAAGGAAGAGGGAAGACGCTGCCGAGTCGGAGCGGACGATCCGCCGCGAACGGGAAAGATGCCGACCGAGTCGAAAAGCGAGGAAGGAAACCGCACGACTCGACGTAGTCGATGGCATCCACGACAGACCCCAGTAGCACATCGCGTTTAACCTTCGTCGTACCGTATTTAAATCCAAGCCGTAGGGGCCGGCGGACCGATTTCATCTAGGACGTTTAAATAACGTTACGCCGACTTTCGAATTCCCGAATATACGAGATAGAATATATTTTACATGTAGAATATGGAGGAAGGAATGGAGGCGACGCCGAAACTCCCGGGGGCCACGAGTTCCCATCGGTCCGATGGCCCCTATATTTAAACGGGAACTCCGGTTTCCTTCGGTCCGATGAAGGTTAATCGACGTCGATCGGATGCGGATTGAACGTCCTGACGTTCGACCGACACTCGATCGAGGTTCTTTCGACATTCTTCTCGTTTTCGAGCAGGATTTTCCCACAAAATTAAACGACTCGTTTCGCTTCGTAAAATGTCACGTATGAAAATAGTGCTCGAGTGGCTTTTATTTCCAGGTCTTTCTTGCTTTCGTTCGGTCACCGTCGATTTTATGACATCCGCAAAACATTTTTCGACCGCCGAATAAAGGAAGAGATCCTTTGGATTCCCGATACCTTTGGTCGCTTCCAGACGATGTTCTTCATCTTCCTGGAATAGGAGATGGACTCGGAACGGGCTCGGAAGTCGGGATCCTCGTAGAGTCCTCGGAGACCGCGGGTCAGCGCCAGAAGCTTCTCTCTGTCCTTTGGTCACCACACACATTTTTTTTTTTTAATATCGATCTCAAATTCGCTCCTCGAGAAAGAGAGGGGGTGGAACCTGTCTGGGATCGGGGGGATCGGTCTGGATCCAAAATTCGTACGACTTCCGCTGCGTCAAAAACACGTGCGAACGACAAATAAATAAACGAACCGAAAATGAACACATGAGATGAACATAAATTTTCTTAAAGATATTAAAACGTATGAAAAGTTTAAGGATCGTTCCATCGTGACTCGTGTTGCATTCTCGAAAATTTCGAAAAGAAATTTCGAAAGAAAGCACGATGCTTCCCCACTTAAAGGAACTGGACAAAATGAGATGAGATCGCAGGCATTCACTTTTTGCCGATCGTACAAATTCGATTTCTTACCTTGTTCTCGAAAGGGCAGAATCTCTGGGAGCCAACACTCAGAAACAAATCCACCGCTTTATTCCAACAGAATCCGCTTTATTTGAAGAAAGACACAACCATCGATTGAGTCTTTCTTTTAATGGCACACATAAATTATTATTCTCATCGTGTCTACATCCTAGAATTTACCTTCAGAAGTAATAATTATGAAAAGTTGCTCGTGACTCATGTTACACAAAGTTGAATAGCCAAGGAATACTGTCTCTGAACAGTTTATGGATTAAAAAAAAAAACTTTTTTGATGCATCGCACTCGAGTGCTCATGCTTGCAGTGTGGTCATATCAAGTATGGCATTCCCCGTTCGTAATCGCCATAAAATACACGATTTCACGTTCGACGATTTTGTCCCTGTGTCCATGGAATGACCCTTGAACTAAAAATTTAAAAAATGAATCATTAAAAAATCCGTGAGTTACACGGGACGACAAAATCGTAACTTTCGTTACAGACAAAATGAGGTAGAGAAACGACACCGCTTGAATTTGATGCACCGAAAGGCGTGAAAAGAGACGAAAGGCATCATGTGAACCGGAAAGAGTCGAACGAAACAGAAATAAATAATGGTCCTCGAGCGACTCCAACTTTAATCGATGTTGAGAGGAGAGGGAGAGAGAGGCGAGACAGGGAGAGAAAAAAAAGGCGGAGACTCGTTGACGCGATCTCATGCCACATGCTTCTGCTTCCTTCTCCCCGTTACGTGCACGCATGCTCGACGGGGTGGCCCAAATCATCCATTCCATCGTTTCCTCGCATCGCACGACACGAAACGTCATCGGGTAAAATCCATCGGATTCGAAGGGATCGGATGGAATGTCGCCCGACGGGCGTCGTTCCGTTCTCCTCGGCGACTCGAGATCTCGGATCGAGTCCGTACGAGGGGAAACGGATCGTCTCTTGGACCACCCCGTATTTCCCTTTTCGTTCTTTGCACCGTCTGGTGATCGGTGCAACGGGGAAGACTTTCGTCCGATCCGTGCAAAGGCCGGTTCGTAGCATGCACTCGTGCATTCGTGCAACCGTTAAGGGACCGAAATCTCACGGGAGGAGGAGGAGGAGGTCTTCTACACGTTCCCCTCGTGGATCCACGAAAGATCTCTATCGGATCCGTTTTTTGTCCCCATAAATCATGCAACGGTGTAATCGCCCCTTCCGTTAGAAGCAGACCCCGATTCTTCGTTCCATCCCCGTACGTCTAAATCTTTTTCACCTTCGCCTTTTGTCGGACTCGGTTTTCTTTTCTCGAGTACTCTACGTCTGCATTCGCGATGTTTCGGTTTCTATTCTTAATTTATTGCACTCGAGGAGGATTTATCATTTTAAAATTTCTGCGATGCAATTTTTTTATAGCCTCGACGTCGTGCGAGATTCTCGGCCGTGATGTCCCCCGAATGAGAGATTCCTAAATGTTTCACTTGCAATATCCAGTGCGACACGTGGAAAGGTGAGAGAAGGAGGGGCGGGAGGAGGAGGCGAGGGGAAGGGGGGAAGGGGCGGGGCAGGAGCACGACGAAAACAGCAAATACACGGCTCCCTCTACGGATCGACACGTGCAAACGATCGGAGCCGACGACCCGTTCGTTCACGATGCAAGGGGATCATGCAACCCGGACTCGATGGACCGAGGGTCCACGACTACCGTCGAACAGAGATATGCTTTCGTTCGTTAGCCATACGGAAGCGTCGAGGAAGCCGTCGGAGTACTCGTGGGGCAACTCGTAGGCGCAGCCTTCGGAAGGAACGGCCTTCTCCGAGCAGACGTCTCTCACCTGCACCTAAGAGTCCCCCCCCCCCACAGACCACGATCGTCAGTATCTCTTCGTCCGTTTCCTACTCGTCGCCCTCGCGGGAGAGAGACCCGGGATCGGACGGGTCGTCTTCGTCGACGAGGGCGTGCGGAGCGACGGAAGAGAGGAAGCGTATTCTCGATGCAAACGTTCCGCGCGTCCTCCGATCGGACGCGACCTCAGAACGTGCCGAACCTGTCACGCTGACCCTCCCGCCCGTCCTCTCGGCCGTCCCGGCCGGCGATCCCGAGATGCCCACTCGGTCGATCTTTACGATCGCATCTTCGTTTCTCGCGCCTCATCCGTCCGACGGAACGTGCGTGCATCCCGAAGAGCTCGTAACCGAACGGTATTCCTCCCCGACGAACTTCTGCGAGCTAAAAAAAAATCCTCGAACGTCGCGAAGGAGTGATCGATGGCGAGACGGGAGGGAGCGCGTGACGGAAGAAAGCCTCCCGTCTGGCCGAGACAGCTTGCACGACATCCGAGTTTCCCTCATTCATCAGGGGTAAGCCCGGTCGACGGTTTAATATCTGTCTTCATCGTCGACACGACATCGCCCGGGAACTTCGCGTCCCGATGGACGCTTTTTTAACGCGAGATATAAAACACGGAGAAAATAACGTCGGAGGAAAGCTTCGCGGACGGCCGGAACGATTTGAGGAACGATTTCTCGATACCCTTTTCGGTACGACACGGGCGTCTCGGTGTTTCGTGACGCAGACGAACACGGAATCGTGTCGCACGGTGGTGTCACGCAGCGAAAATCCAACGCGAGCACGAACGTCTGTCGTTCGGCCTCGTCGCTCTCGTTCGTGCCGACGAATCCGATTCCGAATCGAGCCCGTAGAGGGCAAAGGAGAGAGTGGGAGCTGCCGAATCCGAACCGGATCGTTCTGCATCTACCATCGCCCTTAAGTCTGATTTTCTGGGACTCGTGCCCGACATTGGATGATTTCGAGTTCGTGATACCTCGGTCGAGGTCCGAATCCAAAGCGATGCGCTAAGAGGGGAGTCTCAAAAATCAACTTCTGGCGAGCTTCACTTCCGAAATGTAACCCATAGGAAAGCCCAAACGCCTTGCGATCGAAGAGTGGAAGTGACTGCTTCGTGCTTCGACGCACCGAAAAAAATGATCTCCTTTGGCAAGAACTTTCGTAGTGCCCCTCGTATCATGTCGTTTCTCGTAGTCGGGAATATTAAATGCCGTTCCGCAATAAAAACTAATGGGATGTGACTTTGGCTCCGGTCCCAAGATGGTGACCGTGCCCGATCCGCCTCGTTCATTTCGCCGATTTTATTCCGCTCCATAGCGAAGGCCTCTCACTCCGTGGTATCCGTCTACTGTCTCCTTTCGCGGAGGTCTCGGAGAGCCACTAGGTTTCATCCGTAACGGTCCAGCGCTTTCGTGCGTCTGCAATTTCCTGCTCTTTTCTTTACATCTTCGACCGATCCTCCCGCAGGGAGTTGAGATTTCCTCGCTCTTCGGGGACGCGATCCCAAAAGATTCTCACTCTGCCTGGAGGCACGATCCCTAACGATCGTCGCTCTGCCTTCCGGTTCGGGATGTCGGGGGGAGGTAGACTCACGGGGGGGGAAGGGGGGAGCCCGAACCACGAGAGAGACTCACAGGGGGGTTCGGGGAGCCCGAATCATAGGACTCTTCCACGTCCCGGCTCATAGGTGCAAGATCGTCTCGAAAAACCTTCAGCGTTCCGCCGCGATTCTCCCGGCTTCCGTCGCCACGAAACGGGAACGAGCGAAATTCGAGAGGGAAGAGACGAGAGACTCGGATTCCCTCGTCTCGAAAGGAGGCTTCTCTGTTGCACGAATTTAAAACGGGCGGAATCGTTTCGGCAAGGTGAGGAGAAAATCGTGCGAGAAAGGCACTCTCGTGAACGTGCCAAAATCTGAAAGATGACGCAGAGCAAATGGGAACCTGATGGGCAAAGTCAAGGCGACGGCGGCGGTCGGAGATGGTTTTCCGGCGATTCCTCCGAGTCCTATGCGATCGATTACCACTTGCAGCACCTTTCCGATCGCAGGTTAAAAGCAAAGGAGTCGGCAAGAAGAAAGCATGGGACTGACCCTGGGGCCCCTGCCGATGCCCTCGACGTCCACGACGGAACTGGCCGGAGACAGCGTGATCTTGATCGTCTCCGCGTTCGGCACGCTGATCTCCACTTTGTGCTCCTTTTCCAGCTGACCGGAGAACGAGCGCACTTCCTTCTGGCGAGGGAAAAAGGCACGCTTTAATGGGGACTTCCGAGCGTGGGAGCGGCTCGAAGGCGTCGCACGAGATACCCGAACGTCGTCGTCGGTGTGGGAAACTTGGCTCTCGGATTCGAGAACGTTCACCTTCGCCTTGCTCGCACTACACCCCATTCGCTCGACGCGAACTAACCCGTTCGCCGAACGCGTCCGTTCCACGGTGATGACGGGAGCTCGACCATCGCGCGAGAACCTCCCATGCCCACGCATTGCGTGGCCATAATAAAGGGACTCGGATGTACGAGAGAGCGGAATCGATGAAGGTCTCCGCGTGGGTCCGTTCCTCCACTCCGCTTTACATGCATTCAGGCAGGCGGTAATGCCGTGGCCCCGGCGGGTCATTGTCCTGTTTCGAGACCCCTTCTGTTCTCTCCTGCGTATCGATGCCGTCTCGGAAGATCCCCATCCGGTTCTCGCCGCCTCCCGACTCGTCGTCGTCGCGTTTCGGCTTTCGAAAAATCGCGACCCATCGAAAAGAAAATCGCAAGAAGTAAAAATATGAGATCGATGGACGTGTCGTATTTTCCCAGTTCTCTATCTGCGAAACGTGACTTCCTTTTTGATTTATCAGGATTGGTATGCACGACATTCGTTTTTTTTTCATACCTTGTGATATTTTATTTTAGCAAAGCGATTCTGCAATTTCCTAACCGCGAACAGGTCGGTTCGCTCGCCCACGATCCGGAACGATCCCCGCGTCGCATCGTCGCTCGCCGAAGGTAGACGCCTTCGATTTCGAGGGACCGCGTCCCGTTCGACGAATCGACGCATGCACCTTGCCCTTGATTCCAACGCGTCCGAGGCGAGGAGCAGAACCGAGCAGAACCGTTTCCCGCCGGCAGGGAGGAGGACGGACACTCCCTGGAACCGGCCTGCCCCTGCAATCTTTCATTTTCGGGATCTCGCACCGTGGACCGAAGGGAACTCCATTTAGACTTTCGGGACTTCCGACCATCCGGTTTTCCCGCGTGTGTGTATACAAAACCGACTCGATTCTGACCTCTCGAATGGGATGGAAAATCTTCCTTCCTCCTTAGGAGGATCGCGTTTACGTTTGGGAGAGTGGACTGGAGAAAGAAAAAGGATGAAAGCAGATAATGAAGGCTTCAAATGATCTCTCAACATCGAAAGAATGAGTCGCTTCGGTGGCCTTTCCGCAATCCTCTCTCGGGTGTCGACGTCCAAACGAGTGCGGGAAAGGAGACAGAAGGATGAAGAAACGAGACGGTGAATGCGATGTAACGAGATGTGTACTGTACTTTGGAATCCTGAAGAGGTCAGGACAAAGGGGTTGAAATCAGAGGTTTGCCGTGCCGTGGGATCGAAACTGTGACACCGTCTAGCAGATTGTGACCCCACCATTCAAGCCACTAGACAAAAAATGCCCGTTGGTAAGTCTGTATATGGATGCGAGCTCACAATCCACACGATTCGCCCTTGACCCAAGATCTACAATGGGACTATAGCCCTAATTCCAACTGACTCTCCCCGTCCAGAACTCTGACTTTATAGGCAGAATCAGGATTCCAGAGTACACCTCTCGGCACCATCATGTTATATAATGACTCTCTGTGGTCATATCCCCCGCATACCAGACCCTCATATACATATACGGCAGGGCCGTATCTAGGATTTCATTTCGGTGGGGGGGGGGGGGGGGGGGGGGGGGGGTGGGG